AACCATATTCTGTGCGTGGACGATGTCAACCAGCTCTTTCCCATGGCCAACTTTACACCGCAATTTCAAGGATTCGAAATGGACGTAACAGCACTGTTCATCCTCCACCTCACTACGACAAATGTTATTTAATCCGAAAATTTAGTTTAGTCATGTAAAGGAATATAATTCATCGCCGGAGCGAAGCGAGGCGACATAACTTGTATCTATTAATATCTTTGATAATAGTGGAGTAGGGCTACAAACCCTAGGGATTTTGTCGGGGTTTGGCCAGTCGGTGGCTGCTCGGATTGGTTTACGGTGTCTACGCCTCAGGTGTCCGTCCTCAGCTCATCGTTAAGCGTCGGGAGCTCGGCTCGTCCGAAAACAGTCCTTGCGCAGCGGATGAGTTGCATTCAAATGCGCAGTGAAGGAAGGTGCGTATGGTGCGTCCAAATTTACGCAGCAACATGAGGCTATACATAGCCGAATCCCCACCTTCAATTACTTTCTAGTTATGGTTATGTAACAGCGCCCTAGAAGTTTGTAGCGAACATGGTCGTGGTGAACAAATGCTCATTTTTAAAAATACACGTGTTGGACAGAACACCCCTGCCCAGGTATAAATACAACGATCATCTTCATTCAGGAGTGCATCATCTCCCCGTCATCCATTCCCTGCCCCCATTTCTCTGGACGCTTGGTAGTCCCTGTGGTAGTCATGTCGTCCAATATTAACTACGCCAAAGCCGTTGGGTATCACTCTGAGGCGGCTGCGTTTATATTTGCTATCTTGTACCTACCATTTGCAGGGTGGTTCATCCGGCAGTCGTTTGTTCGACCAACTTACGTCCACTTCACTCTTGTTCTGTTCACGACAAGTGAGTACTACGACCTCCGCTCTCCGTGTTTCTGACGATACATATCTTGATAGTACGTCTCGCGGCTTTCATTCTACGTGGAATCCTGGTGTCCGTAGAGTCTATAGGAGAGAACCTTAGCGCCCTAATCGCAGACGAAATTTTGTTCGGAGTTGGGTTTTTCTCACTCCTATATGCGTCTTACACCCTTGTTCTGGACCTGTGCGTAAATCGTTCTTCATGCGTCCTGCGTCCCAACTTATACTCGGCGTTCACAGCGAGACCATGCAAAATCGACCTGAATCTTCAAACCCGATTATTCGTCTGACCAAAAATCGTCGCGCCTTCCGTTTGACACTTACTCTCGCCGTCGCCCTTGGAATTGCCGCATCGTCCTCAGTATCCAACACTGGAGTTGTCTCGTCTACTGGAAAGACGCTGCGCGAAGTCAGCACCATCATCTTCCTCATCCTCACGGTCCTCCAGTTGTTTCAAGCGTTTCTGTTGGCTCAAATGGAAATCGCAAGTAAGTCCCTGTCAGAAAATTTCGATTTTCGTTGGATTTTAATTCATAATACGCTTACTAGCGCGCGGGCAAGAGAAACGTCACAACGAATCCTTCGGGGCGAGACACGCTATGTCGATCCTGCTCATCGGCGCTGCCTTGCTTCTCGTCCGTGAAGCGTTCTCGACCGCAACGATGACGAACATCGCGAAACAGAACAATGAACACTTTTGGTATCCTCTGGTGGCAGTCCCCGAGATTTTGATCGTCGCTCTCATGAGCACTCCAGGATTAGTTCCTCGACGAGATGAAGTCAAGCCGAGATATCCTCAAGATTTGTCGGCGCAAACTTTACAAGCTTAGCTTCCCGATTCTTTTGCATTTGGTTTTGCACGCATTCTGTCTGCCTTATATTATACGCATTACTGATTGATACCAGAGATGTTTTACACGTATTCCCGTCATGCAATGTGATGATAACTTATCCATGTTCGCCTCTGAAAAAGAATGTCTCGCCATCCACATGTCCGTAGGATGTCATTTCAGTGTCTGATGGGGTCTGAACTACGAATGGTATCCAAGTGCATCTGCGACTTGCTCGCAGGGCTTGCATGTGGACTCGGCGGAGACTTTGAAGCTTTCCTCGACAGGACCCATGCGAGATTAAGTCGGCTCTAACGGAAAGTCGCGCTCATGATAGGAATCAAACAGTATTACGGTCATTGAGCGACTGAACTCTGCTAAAATTAATGAACGTGCCCCGGCGCGGGCTGGATTCAATGAACGTGACCCAGCGCTGTACTCAGTTTACGATACATAGAGCCTGTCAATGTCGACGCGCATACCTTTCGTTGCTTCTATTATGGAATTGAGAGGCGCGCCCAGCACATCGCCTGCGTCTCGTGGGTCTTAAGGCCTTTAGAATCGGCTTTGTGTCGAATTCAAATTCCAGATCAAATTCCAGTCTGGAAGCACCCCTGCCATTCGTTTGGCATATAAAAGGCCTTGAATCCACTTCGAAATGTTGAAACTTGCCGCAAAAAAAACAAGCTTAATATGAGATCCCTCACCTTCCTCTTCAACGCTCTTTGCGTACTCTCAGTATGCACTCCCCTTGCTTCGCAACGGAAACCACGACGCTGACCCTTGTTTCATAGCTCGTGGTCACAGCGCGATCTCAATCCTGGACGTCGCAGGGTTGTTTCAAGTAATGAAGAATCTTGCTTTCTTGGAGAGCGCATGATATTGACTTAGGATTATCGCCAGTGACTCTGCGACAAACCACGCTCTCACGACGTCGTCGCTCTTAAATCAGCCTCATTTCAGTTTAGATCAATGTATCGCATTCTGCGGATCTCACCTTTATAGCGGAATCGAAAACGGAAAAGACTGCTGTATGTTGTTTATTATGCCAATCTACCGGTCTTCTTACTCCGGTTTATCAGATTGCGGAGACACTATTCAAGGCGGCAGCGTAAGAATCAGCGACGGCGCTTGCAATGTCATCTGCACCGGAGTCTCCGATGTGTACTGTGGAGGCTTGAACGCTATCCAGATCTTCCTCCAGAACTTCCCGCCGCCTGTAGTTTGGACGTCCATCGGGTGCTATACGTGAGTGACTTTCCTGTGTGAATACATGCATTCTCTAGGCTCATCAAGAATCGTAGCGACTCGACGTCGTCCAGGACCATCAGGACGGCTTCGTATACTAGCGTCAATAATATGACCGTGGCCTCCTGTCAGAGCTATTGCGCCACCGGAGGATATCTATACGCTGGTGTTGAGTACGCAAGGGTGGGTTCTCCCGTCAGTCAATGCGCGTGAAGGTCCGAAGCTAATAAACGCGTTCTCAATTCTTGGAAACAGGAATGCTGTAAGTGCAGCCACCCACTACCTGGCTCGAGAACGTATCGCTGATGCTGATAAAACTATTAGATTGCGACAACACCATTCACAGTCCCGGTGTGCCTGCCAGTCCCTCTGGATGCAACATGCCCTGCACGGGCGATCCTAGCATCACATGCGGAGGTTCGGACAGAATTCAGATATTCCAAAGGAGCTGAGGAGTCAGAGAGCGCTAAGACAAGATAATGCGAACGAACTTGACGGACGAAATGATAATTACGATGATTGTAATTCCAAATCTCATATGTTAAAATTAGGATTGATAAATTCTCGTGTCTGGATGGATAAGAAGACACCTTAGACGATATAGCAAGTCGTGAAGGTGTACTGGCATGAAAGGGGTAAGGATGAGCGCTTAGATTAGATAAGGTCAGTTGGACAGCACAGCACAATGTCATAAGCATTACCTCCAGCAATATTTAGTTAGAACGATTCGTATAATTACCATGTTTCATTGGAATTGAATAGCAATTCAACTCAGTCTATTATTATCACTAAGTTGAGACGATGAGTTTAACATCCCTGGCAGCAAATCAGACGAAGTGTAACATGGATTGCACAGGGAACCCCCAGCTCAAGTGCAAAAGGTCGTTCAGAATCCAGATATACGAAATTCGACGAAATCGAGCGGCAATTATTTATGCATGTAGAAATCTAGACCTAGAATATCGTGATAGAAGATCACGTCTGCTAGCGAGTAAGTACATAGCGCTAATGGTAGAAATACGAAGTGGCTCACCTCAGTCATATGCATAAAGCGACTGAGGTGTGTCTACTCTACTGAGAACCTATATATACGGTGTACGTAGGTACTTGACCATCGAGTAGACCAAGGGAAAGTGGATAAAGAAATGATAAAAGAAAGTGAGTGGGACAAAGGTCCCATTCGTCACGCTAAAGATTGTAACAATGCAAAGCACTGTAAATTGATCATGATTATCGATTGCTATAGAAAAACACTATGTTGGAATCAGCAGGCGCAGACAGACGGCAGTTTTAAGGCTAGTTAAACGGTAGGAATTAACTTTAGAGACCCCGACGCTTCGTCCGAACAGGTACGGCAGGTTTCAGAAGTTTGATCCGAAAAATATGCAAAAAACATATACGATGATCCACACCCGGATTGAACGGATGACCTTATGGAATCCCCAATGTACTGGAATCATACGCTCTACCTCTGAGCTAGCGGATCATTGCTCCGTTGGTCCTGGATGCTCTCAGAAGGTCATGCTAATTTGACGCCCATAAATATCTTTTCATATTCGGTGTCACAGCTCGAAATTCTGTTCTCACTGCGTTGGGATGCAGGTGGTTTGAGTGAAATTATTCTCGTCCAACAGTTCCTCTGGTCCCCTTTCTAATCATTCCTATTGTATTCGCTCCGTACGTAGGCGGCAGGTAGTATCAGTGGAGATAATTCTAGAGAATGAGAAATTGCAAAAACGTATTCCGGTACGGGGAATCGAACCCCGAGCTACCGCGTACAACGGAACTGTTGTGAAAGGCGGTAATGTTAGCCGTTACACCATACCGGATGGCCCATTATTTCAAAAATGTACAGCCTCCGAGTTATCTATAAATTTAAGCTGAAGACGCATTTGAAGTTTCAATCTCAACGAAGAGACGCTGCTACTTTTCACTGGATCGAAAATCTGGTTCGCCATCCGAATATTCAATTATTTCTCTTCTCATTACGTTAGCGGTCTTTGGACCCGCTTTGTATTGAGTGATTGTATTGAAGCTGACATTCTGAAACTCGAAATGAACTTCGAAGCATATTGCGGCATCCTGCCCTCAGGTTTATGTAGCCTGCCAACGTTTTCTTGACTCGGTATTGTGACTACTTTTCTAGACTCGTTGTGAATACAGATTTACGGGAGAGTGCTGTCGTAATAGTACGAGATGATCTTCGTTGTTGATCTTGGTGTCGTAAAGCTCTTTCCATTCTAGTTTTTTTACATCTCAACGACGCATACAATGGCGTAGTTTTAGTGATTCACCAGTGCATTTTCATCAGTTAATTTCGAGGTATAGTAGCTGCATTACGCACATTCTATTCGCATATACTTTGACTAGCATGTAGAACGCCTTCATAACACCACTCCGTGCAGGCCGACCGATTGTATCATACATACGAAAATCGTGTTTACATATTTCAAAGACGTCACTTGCTTAGTATCGTACACCGAGATGCCCGTTCTACCGATGATCTTCCGTCATCTGTCATTCAACCGCGCGAGTATCCAGTCTTTCCAACTCCAAGCTGGCGAGCAAAAACGCCGCCAAGCCCTTCAAGTCGTTAAGATCGGTAGGTTGGCTGGTATAGTACTGAGCGGCCCATTTTATATCTTAGTTCCGACTCTCTATGTGAATGATCGACGAATCATACTCACGTCGAAATTTCCAGTGGTATCAAGGCTGCCAACCTGATACTTCGTCAGAGCGTATAGATAAATGATGAGTAGATGCTCCACTCACAATAACGGTATTAAGCCATCCCATTGTGCCATCTGAATTCGCAACAACCCAATTAGTGGTCATATAGTTGTACGCCTTTTTCGCAGCGCGGACAATGCTTCCATCGTGATCCTGAACATGCCCGAGTCTGACTGCTTTCAGCATAGCGTAGACGAACATCGCCGTACCGCTGCTTTCGAAGTAATTTTTTGTACGTCCGGGTTCCGTGATAACCAGCCACCATACTCCACTCGTGGGATTGGCGGCATCACGGATGCGTGGCACGAGTGTCTGCAAGATTGATAAGATCTTGGCATGACCAGGATGAGAAATAGGAATAATATCTAGGACGTCTACGAGGGCCATCGAGTACCACCCAAGCGCACGATCCCATACTTCGGGAGAATGTCCGCGATCAGCAGATGCCCATACAGCGACTCGTGAATAATCGTAGCCGTGGTACATCAGTCCTGTGTTGTTCGGCGCTGTTGCATTTTGGATAGTATTCTCAAACATGAGGACGAATTGACTAGTGATGTCATCTGAGGAGATATATTAGAACGTTCAGACACGCCTCTATCAGACACACTCACCCCAGGCTGTTGTATTCGCATGCTGGAACGTCGACGTGTAATCCGCATAAAAAATCTCTCCCATGTAAATGCCATCTAACCAACCTGACAGAATTTTTCAGCCATGAACGGCGCAGGCGCAGTCAATAGAACGATTATGATTGGGCCTACCTTGATTGGGATACTTGAGCTTATGCCAAAACTGACCTTGGACCGTACGAGGATGCGAATTCAACTGTCCGCGGAATATATCTGCGGCGACTTTATACTTCGACAAGTGGGTTTCTCCGTACCTAATAACAGAGGTTATTTTCCAGAATAGGCGTGGAGGTGCACATCAACGGATGAGTTTACTCGACTCCACTCACAAGTATATCATTGTTGGACCAGTTCTGGAGTTCATGACCTCAAATCGCCGTCGAACTTGTGAGTTAATAAAACACTCGCCTTAACGGATCCAAAACGTAGTCCGTAACACTTCAACGTTGGTTCTCGATTAATTGCTCCAAGCTTACATATGAACTCGATGCATACCTGTAACTGCCATGAACTGTCCCATTACTAAAGACAACGTTATCGATACCCTTCTGGATGTAATTGAAGTAAGATTGGTTGTTCGTCTTTTCGTAGAGCTGCCGCAAGCCCCACTGGAATTCTCCGTGCTCGTAAGATACGATGGCATTTCCATTAGCATCGAGGCCGTTCCCTTGGCCTCGAGCAATCGCAGAATCGGCTGCCCAGACAGCATAGGAAGGGGGCCTGGCAAAGACTCTTGTACTCAAGTTAGAGGCCAAAGCTAAAGTGAGTGGAATAAACATGAGGGGACAATGGCTCTGCGCTCAGTTTCTTGCGTTCTTATGGTGCCAACGGCAAATCGAGAAGGTGCATTTAAAAATAGATTTGCACAGGTGCACGCTCAGGTGCACGAACAAGTGCTCGTGCACTTCTGCGTCACGGCCCGCGGGAGTCAGAGAGCGGTCTTCTTGCCTTCTTTCGATGGTGTTGTGATACAAAACATATGGGGAATATTTTCTGGGCGAACAGAACGGCAATTCTGACGAACTGAAAACGATGTGAATCAATTTTGAGCTTGAGTACTTGAGTAGGTGGTGGGTAAAATGCAAGTATGCAGATAAAAATATATTGCCGCGATGAAGCATAAATCTAACAAGCTCTCCTATTCATGCCGGTAGTTTTTTGCCCAGCGAATGTGTCTGCCTTATGGGTATGGATGCGACCTTCCGATCCGGCGTTAGATCTCGTGGCTGTGCCATAAGTCCCGATGATGAAGTCAGTGCTATGTAGATAACTATGTAGCAGGCACCGTAACTGCCCCGGGTTGTCCACGTATTAATAACCGGGATTTTTCTGTCCTTATTGCCTAATCTGAAGGGAAAATTCTCGAGGTCAAAGATGGGGATATCAAGAGTCAGACTGAAGGGTAAGTGTGTCTATCGACGAACATACTTGATGAGCGAATTGCGATGCTGCGCCCTGTATATATAGCCACGCGCATTAGCAGGTTGACAAGACCTGCCGGACGCTCTTTTAAATGCTCTTACAATTCACTTTCTAAACTCTCGTGTACTCAGTCTCTACCCAGCTGTCGTTCGTATGGCTTCCAAGGCCGCTTACGTTACTCTCCTCACCTCTATTTCGTACCTCGCCGGAGTTCTCGTCCTGAACCAGTCTCTGCGGCGCGTCAAGTCTAGGTATAGGCTGGTAGTAATGGTGACGCCGTCTCTGCCAGACAGTGCGAGGAAGATTTTGTATAAGCAGCGGATAGGCGTCATAGAAGTCGAAACGCTTCGTCCTCCGGAAGGAACCCACAAATTACACACGCATGATGCCCGCTTCGCTGATACATGGACTAAATTAAGGTGAGCTTGATTTTCCTGCACTGTCCGTAATCGTTCATCACGCGCTCATCTATTTTGTAGAGGATTCGGACTTGTTCAGTTTGAGGTATGAATTCGCGCATTCTGGTGTTCTGCATAGGCTGAATCCCTTCTCGCAGCGCATCGTTCTCCTCGATAGCGATATGATAGTACTCAAGAACATGGATGAACTAATGAACACCGATCTCCGCGGGCATGACCACATCGGCGCCGTGCATGTGTGTGCATGCAATCCACGCGCGTTCAAACACTATCCCTTGGACTGGTAAGCTATTTCGTATGTTGCAACGATGGCCAGCAAGATAACATTCGCCGTAGGCGACCAGCTAACTGCGCATATAGCACTGTTTGTACACCCAACGGAATGCCACCTGCTGCCCACCAGAATTCTCCGCGTCCTTACTCCCAGCTCAATTCAGGCACGGTCGTTCTCAATCCATCGAAAGAGCTCTTCGCAGGTATCAAGCATTTTTTAGCGACGCATCCACGCGTATCCGAATGGGCTTTCCCCGACCAGGACCTCCTCTCGGAGTATTTCAAGGGTAAATGGCATCCTATACCGTGGTCTTACAACGCATTTCGTTCGCATCGCAACGTCCATCCCGCCATGTGGTCCGAGGATAAGATTCACTGCTTGCATTATATATATGCCGACAAGCCGTGGCAATCCCGTATCACACCAGCCAAGTCGGACAAAGGATTCGATGCCATGGATCGATGGTGGTGGGACCGCTTTGATGCGTTAGGAGAGCGCATGAAAAAGGATGACCCGGAGGGTTGGATCTTGGTACTGTCTAGTGTGGACACACACAAGAAATGTGGGCAGCCTGGGCAACGCTAATGACTGTTTTCTGATATCATATCATGCGTATAGGTGGCCCGATAATATCCATTGGGAGACCTGGGGCGAGGAGAGGGAAGGGAACTGATATATTTATCCATTAATATGATTCGATCTAATCGTTGTAGTTATCTTAATCTAATCTATATTCATCGTTTCAATTTCAAGCCTGATGACCCTTTGCCGAAGGTGATTTCCCGGTAACATCATTAAGTGGTGGAAGCCACCGCTCGAAGGTTCACCGGCCCATCCTCCATTCTAATATCCCATTTGTCTTTTTTTTTACTTCACTTCAACACGCCACGTCCGTTAAAAAATTGTAAAGTGATGAAATTTTGTGGGTCTAGTGCCTATGCAATTCCGTGTATTTGGATGGGAGGCAACGAGTTGCACGGAGGTCGGGCATATATGATATTTGATTTCT